CGAAACCAGTAGCCAACAATACCTTGAAGGCAATCTAACCCTGATTCTCGTTGGAACAATACTTCGTCTCTAACCTCTGTTTTTCCATGTTTTCTCGACTGACTTACGCTTATTTTCACTTCGTAAAAGTCTTTCATTTTCTTTGATCTTGCCAACGAGGAACTCTGGGGAAAGCTACATCCAATCGCTCTTGTTGTAAAACGGTTCTCACAAATTGTAAGCACCATGAGATGATCTTTCTCGATATTTGGGAAGTCCTTCGCATTCTTCACAATTGATACGGGCTTCGTGGGTAATCGTATAACACGAAGGACTGGCCGAGTATTTCCAAAAGCATTTGGCACGTCTTCGGGTTGGACTACAAACTTGTTTTTGTTTCCAATCATAAGAGTGTGGCAGCTTTTGACTTCCGCTGCCAAAGTGTATTCTTCGACTGTTGATTTCTCATCGGCCGGAGTGATTATCCTTACAAAATCAGCGTGAATATCAATTGCCTGACATGATTTTTGCGAATCGTCTTTAAGTACAAGCTCTTCGGATGATCCATATCTCCGTAACACACGCAAAACCAGCTCTTCGTCATCGGAAACTTTCGTGAGCCCATCGGAGACATCGGTAGGCGTCGTGAGGTCAACGAAGGCGACGGTATTGTTATCGCCAATTTGTAAACAAACAGGCTGAGTTTTAAGCTTGATTTGTTTTGGTAACGACTTTACACATGAGCTGTCACAGTCTCTTCTTCCTCTCCCTTTTGGCAAAACTACTTCAACGATCTCACCTCTAATTTCATTTCCGTCTGACAAAGTTCGCCGCATTTTTCTTTCCTTGCCTTCTTCGCAAACGGCTAACTCCATTTGCGACTACGCAATACGTTTCGACGCCTTTTAAATCCAAGAATGCTATTTATATTTTACACGTTTTCGTTTTTCCCTTTCAGGCGTGAGACATTTCGTCTGAGAGATTTCGAAAGTCCTCTGAAATTTCATGCGACCGTGAAATTTGGCTGAGAAAAAGAAGCGAAATTTTTCCGTGAGAGCTAGTCGGTCTACTAGTTGCAATCTCGTGATCTTATGTTTACGTGTTTCTTATCGTGCCGTCATGGGTATTCCCCGCACAGGCTAAGCCTGTTTTGTTTGTCACGAGATACTCAGCTGAACTGTAAAGACTTAACTATGTTGAAGATGCACTGTTAGCATTCTATCCTTGTACAAAAGCTTTTCCCGAGTGCGTTGTAGTTCAGGATGGCAACATTATTTTGTTGGCAACAACCGATTGAACAATTAAACCATTTCAATTGAACAATTGAACTATATATAAGACGCAAGAAAAGCTTTTCACGAGTGCGTTGTACTTCTAAAAGGAAACATTTTCTTGGAACGCAACAACCGATTGAACAATACACCTTTTTCGCCGCTGACGTTATGAAGCTGTCACGTGGTCTCTATTGGGTAAACAAGCTCGTGAAGTGCAGCACGTGAGTTTTAGTTTTGGAACCATGGTTCACTACAGCTGTGGTTACGAGTGTAAAAATAACTCAACTGATAAGGATTTCTCATTTCACGGCTTCCCGAAGGATAAAAAGCTCGTAAAGGTTAGAAATATTGCTACAATCAACTGAAACGTTACGGCGAGTCGAATGACACCTTGGTTCGTTTGCGGCGTTCGCTCAGCTAGCAACATAATTTGTTGTTTGGATTAACCGAATAAAAAGAGATCCGAAGAAAGATTTTAAGGTGACTGAAAGTGCGAAAGTTTGTTCCGAGCACTTTAACCCGGAGGATTTTATTTCATCTGCGAGTCAGAAGAGAAAATTAAAGGAAGGTGCTTGTCCTTCAGCATTTTCATGACTTCCCAAGCGCAAGAAAGGTCCTTACCTGCAAAGAGATCAAAACTTCAGGAAGAGCAAGAAATTATAGAAGCTGAGATAACAGCCACTGCATCGGAGGGAGAAGGGAAGTTTGATGAAACAAACCGAGACAATTTTTTTTCCAGGGCGACTCAAGTTGACATAGAGGTTCCATGCACACACAAGTTTTCAATAAATATATTCTAAGGTCCTTGTGTGACTGTCCGGAAAGAGAAGTGAAATACTTCTCCCATTTTACTGGCTTTAAGCCTTATGAGAGATTTAGAATGATACTGAGTTTTTTCTACCTGATTTTGACAGGTCAAATGTTGTAAGCTGGGATTCAAAAAGGGCTAAACAGGTGCGCATTGATCCAAATTCTCTTTTTGATTCTGACACAGAGATTGGTGAATCACCTTTAGAGTTGAGTGATGAAGAGGATTCCGTCACTAATGACAACAAATATTACAGTAACCAGAGTGTGGAAGATGACTTCCTTCTAGTATTAATGAAGCTCAGACTAGGGTTGTCAACCATTGATTTAGCAGTAAGATTTAATGTATCTGAAGCAACTGTGTAAACTTTTCACAACTTGGATTAATTATCTATATGTACGCCTTGGTGATTTAAAGATCTGGCCCCATAGAAATGTAATCATTTCCAATATGCCACCTAATTTTAAGGAGAAGTATCCAAACACTATTATTATCATTGATGCAACAGAACTTAGAATACAAACCCCCTCATCCCTTCTGAGGCAGTCCCAAAGCTATTCCAGCTACAAGTCAACAAACACCTTTAAAAGCCTAATTGGAGTTGACGCCAAGGGTGGGATTGTTTTTGTTTCTCAGTTGTACATCGGGTCTATTTCAGACAAGGAAATAGTGATAAGGAGTGGTTTTTTGGAGATACTTAAGAACAAAGTAGCAGTTGGAGAAATACTAGCTGGTGATGCTGTTATGGCAGATAAGGGTTTTGACATAGGGGATGAACTGAAAAAAGTTAATCTGCGTCTCAACATTCCCCCATTCCTCTCAAACCAATTTGCATTCAGTGAGGGTGATGTAGTAAAGACACAGACAGTAGCCCAGCACCAAATCCACATTGAGAGAGCAATAGGAAAAGTTCACAGATTTAAAATATTTTCCAGTGAAATTCAGGTGACCATGTTTGGGATTATCAACCAGATATGGACAGTGTGCTGCATGTTGTCAAACTTCATTGAGCCTATTCTTGACTAGTTTCAGTAAGAAATGTAGTTTGTTTTGACAGTGTTCAATAAAAGGCCACTATGGAACTGTTCCATGAAGGTGTTTATGAGTTGAAACTGTC